ATAAGTCTCTGCCAACAATGGTGGCGTTGAAATGTATTTTAATAATTTTTTTCTGTATTCATTTACCAGATTAGACTAATATCGTTTCTCTCGGGCTAATTGAGAATTATTTGTTGTCTGAGTTACGTCGATGACATCAGTACGTTTTATCAAGTAGTGTGTCAGCTGTCTACAGATACGTCGATGACATAGCTAAGTCTGATTAAGAAGTGTACCGGTTGTCTACAGTTACGTCGATCATATTAGTACATCTCATTAAGAAGTGTATCAGCTGTCTACAGTTACGTCGATCATATTAGTACATCTCATTAAGAAGTGTATCAGCTGTCTACAGTTACGTCGATCATATTAGTACATCTTATTAAGAAGTATATCAGCTGTCTACAGTTACGTCGATCACATAGGTACGTCTTATTAAGAAATGTATCTGGTGTCTATAATTTAGTCGACCACATCAATGCATTATTTAAGTTTATTCTCTATAGCAGTAATAAACACTTAAAATAGCTGTTATTTGCGATTCTTGAAACAGGATTTAGCCGGTTTGTAATTAAGCACAAAGTTACACAATGGGCTATCTGATGTCTGCCCACCACGGGTATCGAAACCCAGATTGTGGCGTTGTAAGTCCGCAGACATACCGCTGTGCTACTGGGGGCCAGCATTTAGTAATGACAGTAGAATCAGGAAACAGTTGTTGGCAGAGACTTATCAACGAGAAGCTTCTTCACTAGAATTCTGGAATTTAAGTAGTAGATAAAAAGCTTAATAATGGAACGCAGAGGAGCTGTGCGTATAACGCTGTAAAAAGGACGTTTAGAAGTACAGTGGAAGTACGTTTTGTAAAATCAGTCACCTTTCCTGACATGCGTACCATGATCTAACTGTAAACTTTATCACTCTAAACATTTTGCAAACTATTGTAATGTAAACTTTATCAAGTTCATTGTTCTACTTACAATGTTTAGAACTTTCAGAAACTTTTCCTTTAAACATTTAATTGAAATATTCTAATTTACTTTACCCATATTTTGCAAAGTTTGTCCAGTACGTCATTACTGCCATGGACAACGCTACCTCAGCATGAGTGAAGTTTTTCTGGAAATAAGATAAGTCTCCGTCCACCAAAGGAGCACCCAAAATATAAGGAAGTTCTTCACCGTGAACACATCCTAATCTTTCTGGGTAATCACCATGCTCCGATTGGTGGCCAAATACGTAGAAGAATGTTCTAGGGTTAACTTTGGAATGGTAGTTTGCCATTCGAACGATGGGAGCTACAATTAACGAATCACCTAAGGCGTTTGCTGTGTTCTGTCGTATGTTTATCGGATGTTGCACAGTTTTAGACCAGTCTGTGTATTCGTTAACGATTGTGAGGAATATTTCTTGGAGATGGTAAGTGTATACGTTTCTGACGAGAGTACGTATTAGCTTGTCTCTTCGGTCAGGCTCGATACCATATTTCTCATCTCGAGCCGAAAATTGTGGATAAAACTCGTTTCTAACCACTCCTACTAACAGTTTATATTGACTGTACAGTTTTGTGTAGTCTCTCAGCAGTAGCTCTGGTTCGTGTGGAATAACGATACCGTCTACAATCGGGCCAAAAGCTGTCAGATGCTCAGGAACCAACAGCTGAACTCGCATAATGTCTGCCATAGACTTTTGTCTCATGCAGGCCACCAAGAGCACGTGATCTTTAACTGGACAATCAAGAACTCTCGCTAGATGTCGCGTGTAAGTCATGGCTTCAGGAGCTGTGGCCCAGGGGCTGAGAACTGACCCACTCTGTAGGATTACTCTTGAAAAGAGATCTGTGGAATACATATATATATGTGGTTATATGCAGGTAATTATAGTTTAGTAAGATGTAATAACTACTACATTTGATTACTTATTAGTGCAAATTCCCTGATGGCTAAGCGGTAAGCTTGAGAGCTTATACGTTAAAGAAGTGGGTTTCAATACCCGAGGTTTGTCAGAGCACAGATAACCAATTATGTAGATTTGCACTTAAACACAAACAAACAAACCAGTTAATGCAGACGTTTTTTTTTCTACAAAATATTATTAAAAAAAGAGTTTTGTGAGGTGTAATGTTTAACTATGATGTTGTTTTATGCTAAAATGTTCAAATTATATATATCTCAGATTATATTTACAGACGAAAAGTACTTTGTACAAATTTATTAAAAAAAGAACAGTAAGGCACGTCAGCATAATACTGCACAATTAATAAAATAATTAACAACTCAACCTAGCTTGGGAATGATAAACTAGGTATGTCGAAAGTAGTCAGGTTTATTTATACTTTGTTAATTATTTAATCATTTGTGCATTATTATGCTGATGTATCATTATTGATCTCTTGTTATGGCATATCAGTTAACAAATAAACACCATGAACAGTTTCGAGTAGAATCAGCATATAAGGTCATTTGTTATATAAGGGTACTGAGCAAGGTTTTGTCTTAACTTCGAAAATCGGAATAATTTTTTTCATAAAGAATTTTCCATTCTGCAAGGTGAACAAATAAATGCCGACAGATTTTTTTCTTAAACATTAAACAACATCACACGTTCCTTTCTTGTAAAAGTTCACAAAAGCAGTTTAATAAACAATATGATTGGAGGAGAAAAAGGTACGTGTAAACAAACAAATTGTTACAGGGATCATACCCTGACATTAGCTTAAATTGTTATCGCTCGAAAAAACAGCTGTCCATGATATATAATGTTAAATAATGTTCCAAGCCGCAAAAAGATTTTGTTATTTCAATTACATCTTCCTAATTGCCTTTAACCAGCTATTAAAGCCTAAGTAATTGCTATAGCTATGAAGTTGTCTATGCAAAAATCATTTACACACATATAATTCTACTATAATTATATCATAAAATGATATTGAATTATGACAATCACAAATACTTAAACTTTCGTCTCCAACTAAAACAGGTCTTAGATGAATAGCTAGATACTTTTTTTATTTTGTACCTTATAATGATATAAAAAACTACTCTTTTTTAGATAAAATAATCATTCCAATAAATAATGTGCCCTAATAAAATGAAGTTTGTGTGGGGAATCAAAAGTTTGGGGCACTACAATATAATATATAAGTTTCCAAGATAGTGTTATTACTTGTGTTTCAAAAGTTTTCTCCACTTTTGATGATCTTCAGTAATGTATTCTTTGATATATTGTTCAGACAGAGTATTCATGATGAAACTAAGTTTGATGGACGGCAGTTGCCTGTTGTAGAAACAGAAGTATAGAGGACGACGTTTCGAAATACTTCCACCTGAAGACAAAAGGCGGAAGACTTTCGAAACGTCGTCCTCCATACTTGTGTTTCTACAACAGGCAACTGCCGTCCATTCAACTCAGTTTCATTCAGTAATGCATTTTTAATATAATATACAACATTTAAAGCTAACATAATAAATTTCAATACGACATTAAGATGATATATCCCAACACGATATTAAGATAATATAATCTAAGAAAACATTAACAAACGTTCCTGAAATTTTAATTTCGTTGTGGTTTATTTTTTTCCCTCTGGAAAACAGTTTCTTTAGTGAGAAAAACAAACTAAATTGGAAATATTCGTGAGATTTAGATTCACATTTGAAAGCATTAAAATATATTTTATATTGATATGTAAAATAATTGCTATTAGTTGGCACACTCATTCAAGTTTATAATGTTCGTCACAACTTTATCACTATAGATATTTCTCACATTTTACGAACGTTTTAGCGTCAAAACTTAAGCACACTACGACTTGTACTAACTTAAAAATAATTCTTTGTTGTCTGATTTTTGATATATTTTATTTTCTATCTGACAAAATATATATGTCTTTATTAACTCTATCAATTTACATCTGTTTTCCATGATAAATTGTAAATCAATTTAGATATCGGAAATGGTATTAAATTGTAAAAATTAAGAACGAGCTATTGTTTAATTATCATTCTTTTCTGTTTAGCTCACTGTGATTGAATATTAACATGTGCAGAGAAATTCATAACGATTACTACAATTAAACTAGTTCTTATATTATAGTTCATTGGTATTCAAAATAACTGAGAATGATAATGTAAACGTAAGTCCATTACTTTAGGTATATATATATATATTAATGTAATTTTAACTAAAACCTTTTCAGCAATTTTCTAAATTGTTCAATAAAATGTTTTCTTTATCTAAAAAAAACAGTAAAAATTCACTTTCCAATTTCAAATAAAACCTGACCTTTAGCCATTGGAGACAACATTAGTAAATTGACAAAAGCAGCTCCATGGCCATGACCAAGAACTGTTACGTTGTTATTATTGCCTCCAAATTCCATAATGTTTTCTTTAATCCAATGCAGGGCTTCTATTTGGTCCATGAGTCCGTAGTTTCCTCGGTGTGTTCCTTGTAGTGTCGGGAGAAATCCTGGAATAATGAAAAACACCAAACCTTGATCCATTTCGAATAACTGAAAACACTTACGGGATAATTAATACATCGGTACGTGCAAGCTTCATTAATGATATCGTATAGCAGTTCATGTTCAGATGGGGGAGGTCGTATAACTAAAACAAACAAGTCATAATTTATTAAAGTTTCAAATGGTAAATAATATTGGTTATGGCGTGGACTTTTAAATCAACAATGAAAGGTAGATATTATTTTGTTTTTGTAATGCTGATGTGAAGATTTTCTTTTCAAAACGTTTTTAATTGATTACATATGATCATCTGTTGCTAGAATATAGGACGTTTAATAACGTAGGTAGTGCAACGTGGTAATATAAATATTAGGAAACATTTATTATGAATTCGTTATCCGCTCCTCTTACAAAATGGTTGGACATTTGTTAAACACAGTCTTTATATCTCGCTCTCCCTTCGGACAGCTTGGAGCCGACTTCAAATAGCTGCTAATCCTTCTGTAATAAAGTTTCAGCCGTCTTATAAAATTTTGCAATATTGTATGACTATAATTCAGGAATGCAAACATTAAAATGAAAGATGAAGCAGTATTTTCAACACTACCAACGTTTTTGCTTGTTTTTTCACGTGAACGGTAGAAACATTATTACCCTCAACGGTCGCTAGAATACAAAGAACAGATATTGAAGTTATTGTGCAAACATTAAACAAATTACTAATTTAGAATTTTTAGTGCAATTTTCACTTTTATATGTGGCTAGTTTAGATTATTTAAGTTGCACTTTTACGTCCTTTAACATACATGATATAATCAGTTATAGACATGAAAACGAAGCATACAGAAAATAGCTTTAGTAAAGAAGTAAAAACATTTGAAAATATTAATGACAAATTTTACACACTTAAACTGACAAAAAACAGCTTTAGATAAGACGAGAACATACTTGGAAATATTAACGATCACTTTGACACGTTAAACTCACAGAAATTAGTCTTAGAAAAGACGAGAACATACTTGAAAATGTTAATGACCACTTTAATAAACTTAAACTTGCAGAAAATAGCTTTAGAAAAGACGAGAACATACTTGAAAATGTTAATGATCACTTTAATAAACTTAAACTCACAGGAAATACCTTCAGATAAGACGAGAACATACTTGAAAATGTTAATGACCACTTTAATAAACTTAAACTTGCAGAAAATAGCTTTAGAAAAGACGAGAACATACTTGAAAATGTTAATGACCACTTTAATAAACTTAAACTTGCAGAAAATAGCTTTAGAAAAGACGAGAACATACTTGAAAATATTAATAACCACTTTTACATAGTTAAACTTACAGAAAATATCTTTCGTAAAGACGAGAACATATTTGAAAAGATTAATGACCATATTTACACGCTTAAAGTGAAAGAAAATATTTATTACGGTCATCATTCAACCATTCATTGAAAAGGTTTTATGTTTCTAGTGATACACAAAGAAATATTTATTGTTGATGCCTAATCTTTACAAAATGAAATAACCTTTATTTTCCTACCCAATGTGCTGCAGTAAGAAATGTTATATTTGTTTTACTTCCTGATGTCTAAATATTGATTTTTCATAAAGCTATTTCTATGCTAAAATACTGACATTTAATAAGAAAATATCGCAAATAAAGGAGGGTGGGTTGATGTGTAGCGAGGTTTTAGGGAAAAGTGTTTATACATATGACTGAAGACAGCTGAGGAAATAAACGAGAAAGCTCTGAACAAGGATGAACCATGCTCACATTTCAATCAATAAACCTGTAGTATAGCCATGCAGGCTAGACAACCAGAAATGTATCTTAGCTAGTCTTAACTTCTCTTTATAATTGAAGTGCATTGCTTAAGAAGCTAGTATTTATTTCAATATTTAGGGATTGACATTTTATTTTTCTGGTCCTATAATTTCTCACTTCCTATAAGACAGTTTCTTGAGCGCATTGTTTTATTTTTGATACAGTTTTTGTAATGTTTCTCGCTGGGAGATTCCGAAGCAAGCGAAAATCGTGTGTGAAGGTCAGACTTAGCCAGTGAATAGAGAACACCATTGGTTAGATAACATGTCCACGGTGGATGAACGGGTGCCTTGAGTGCTTATAATTCTAAAGTTTGAGATCAGATCCCTGCAGTAGGGGGCAACATAGTGAGCCCATTGTACAGCTTTGCGCTTAACAACTAAAGTTAGACCATAAGCATAAAAATGTGGCAGTGGTTGTACGAATCACTTAACGTCAAATAATTGGAAGTAAATTTCAACCATCAGAGATACCAAGTAATTTTTCATAAGAAGGTATTTGTGTTTTAGGTATATATTTATCAGAATTTCCACTTGTAAGTAACTGTTAAGGAATGAATACAGAAGTAAAGGCAAATGTAACGTAATTGTAAATCGTTTCTGAAATTGGTTTTATAAAAATGCACTTTATTTGATTACAATAGTTT